GCTCCTCCTTTGTCTTCTCTTGTCCCGCTTGCCCTTGATGTCGCGCCTGGTCGTGCGCGGCGCCGTTCGTGCGGACGAGCACGGGGCGCTAGATAAATCGACATGTATCAGCGTCTCAAATCTCAAATATCGGTATGAGGGATGAGTTAAACGAGAAGTAAGAGTTAAAAGGTGAGAAGTAAGAGAAAAAAAGTAGGTGGGACGGGAAGCGGGGAGAGGGTCCGCGTGCACGACGTGTACGAAGCGCGCGCACACACGACCCCAAATGCAAAGGCACGGCCGTCTCGCGCAAAAAGGAAAGAAGACGCAAGAAAGATGCAGGAAAATGAATGAAAGAAAGAAAAGCAAAAACTGCTACACGAGCACCTCGACGCATGCATGGGACACAAAATACAAAACCCACAAAACCCACATCGCACACCTCCCCCTGCAAAAAGGGAAAGGACAGGACGGCACGCCATAAAATCGACGCAACGCAATGCAATCGAAGAAGAAAACGGACTCAAAATGCAAAACGAAGGCGTCGAACAAAATACACGTGGAACGCGAGGACGTCAATGCAAAGAGCCGACGGCACACGACCACCTCGACATATCAAGCGTTGCAACGCCAGTATCCACGCCACACCTCCTGCAAGAACGAAGACACCTCCTACACAGAAGAAACGAAGAACTGACGACCCGAAAGAGAAGCAGAAGCGACGTCAGGAAATGTCGCATCGTATCGCGGCACGCGACCATGCCCATGGCCAACTTCCTTCCTGTGCGAGTGCGAGGTCAAGCAGCAGCTCCTTCCCCTTCTCTCCAAAAACGCACGAAAAATAGAAATAAAAACTCCCCGTTCCACCCAAAAACTCCACTTCTCCACTCTCCAAAAAAAAACACCCCCGCTCTCCAAAAAACGTCTCAAAAAAAAAAAAAAAAAAACTCACCTCAGCCCCCATAGCTCCACCCGTCCCAACCCGCCTAACCAACTCCCTCGCGCGGAACGTACACGTCAACAGCGGTGGACGGGCGGGGTCCCACTCTTCTTCTGGGTGCGCGTGCTCGGGGTGTCTTGCGCTCCCATTCGCTTCTTGTTTGCCGTTCGTCGCTGTAGGGGCATCGAGCGCGGCCGAGGATGTATGCGTAGGCGGACCAGGCGAGGAGGCGTCGAGGACCGAAGACGACGAATACGAGGAGCTGCTCGAGCCCGAGCCCGAGCCTGAGCTGGAGTCGCCCGAGGAGGAGGCGGAGAGCGTGGAGGTGGTTGGCGGGGTGGAAGGTGGGGGAGGGATCTACGGTGAAAGAGGGAGAGGGAGATTAGTAAAAGTAGGACGGGGTGATAAGGATAAAATCGAATATAGAGTGAGAAAGAAGGGCAGGAAAATAGGAGCACTATAAGCGAGCGGAATTGCGGTGGAGGAGTAGAGAAATAGACAAGGAGTGCGTGCACGCGAGCACACGACCCAGCACAGCACTAAGACTGGCCAATCCATGCTCGCGTCGCGTCCGCTCTACACCCGCCAGGCGCTAGGCGCTGGGCACACGATAACGAGCACGCAATCCAACGCCTAACTCGCTCTCGCTCTCGCTCTCGGGAGCACCGTCTACTCGCTCTCGCTCGCGCGCACCACAACCGAAAGCGCACGTTAAAGGTCCGCACAGCCCGCTTCGTTTCGAATACGAAAGCGAAGCAGGGAGAAGCACGCGGAGAAGGGGAAACGCGGGGAGAAGGGGAAGGCGATGCGCGGGGACGGTGAGAGGCCGAGTCGAAGGGGGGATGTACGGCACGGCATGTACGATACGACAATGTGAACGCCAGAATGGAATGGAAGGACTCGAGCATGCAGCAACCCAAGTCCAAGTGCTAGGGATGAGGGAGCATGCGAGACAAGACAGCGTGAATGAAAGCGAAGGTATGCACTTGAGCACGCGAGCACGCGAGTATGAAGGGGGGCGTCCGCCCTACACCCGCAGCACCCGCACAGACGCATTCCAACTCCAACTCCCGCTCCGACGTTGAGAGATGGATAGGGATAGGAGGAAGAGGGATGCATCGGCGAGTCCGAGCGCTCAAGAGAAAGTAGGCTGTCCCAGGAGTAGAAAGGGTAGAAGTAGAAGTAGAAAGCAGGGAATGGAGAATGGATGTAAAGTCGCAGCAACCTCGACCTTGTCGTCCCGCCCAGTAGACACAATAGAGAAACAAAAAGAACGAACGAAAGAAAGAAAGTGAAGTGAAACGAAGTCAAAAGGACTCACATCTCCATCTGCACGTCCTCCCCGAGCGCCGTCGTCGGCGTCTGCGCCGCAAAGAAGCGCTCGCTGTCGTCCGAAGCGGCGGTGCTGGGCGTCCCAGGCGGGAGCCCGCTCGTCTGAAGCGCCTGTAGACGGTGGTGTACGGGATGCATATGCTTGCCGTCCTCTTGCACTTGCTGCTCGAGCGTCGCAATTGGTGGACCCTCCTCCCCGGCAATGCGCACCCCATCGACGTCGACGTCCATCCCAACCAGCTCATCTTCCTCCTCGCTCTCCTCCTCATCCTCCTCGTCGCTCTCATCCTCATCATCGTACTCCCCCTCCTCCTCGCCCACCCCACCCGTCGTACGAGGCAACTCCTCCTCCTCCTCCGCAACGACCCACACGAGCCCCCGAAACCTTGGTGCCTTCCTCCTCTTCCTCCCCGCTGCTGAGTCGCCGCGCGACCCCTCGAAGAACGTATTCTGCGCGTGGTTGTCGCCCTCGAGCCCATGGAGGAAGGGGAAGAGCACGCCGTCGGGCGGGTGTGCGAGGATGTGCGCGGTGTGGAGGGCGGCGAATTGGGGGGCGGAGAGGATGTGTGCTTTTCCTCCTGCTTCGTGTCGTGCTCCTTCTCCAGATCCAGGTAGAGGTACGGGCGAGGGCAGAGACAAGACAGACAACCCCCCCAGAAACCCGCACGCATGCCTCAGCCCATGTTCCTGCTCTTGTTCTTGCTCAGCGTCGTTGTGCCGGACGTCGTCCATAGCAGTGTCGGTGGCGGGTAGTAACAACCAAAGTACCTCTTTCCCTTTCCGGCCATGCCCGGGTGCTATTCCCTTTTCCGCTCTCATAACCCCTTTGGGCGTAGCCTATTATTGCATACCCCGCTCATGTGACGCCTCGTGCCCTCTCAATCACCGCTGCTATCTATCCCATCACGCTTCGCAACTTCGAATTCCCACCGGGGTTCAGAAAAATGGTGTAAATGAATGTTCGATTGGAGGAGGTAAAATGAATTTCATCCGTGCCGCGATTCTTCGAGGAACGTTAACGGTAGGACATATCTGTAAGTTGTGAACTTCCCCGCACCCCGACATCGATACCCATCCAGATCTCCCTTCCATCCCTCCATCCACTTATAACTTACATCCCAATTGATATGTAACTCTGATCTCGATCTTCCGTGGTGTCAATTCCGCTTGTCAATCACCCATCTACCGGTATTGATCGGGTCTCCACAAATAAATTACTCCAAGTGGCTTTGGAAATTGACTGCGGATCCGGGAGTCGCTGGTGGGTCCTCGTCCATAAATAAGTTACAGACATTTTTTGTACGACCAAGTTACGGGATTATTTTTTTCCTCTCCAAAAAATCTGGGTTATGAGGAACATGTAGAGAGAGGTAGAAAGGCTCGGTAGTGGATGGTCCACATCTGCCCAGTATTTCATGCCAGCCAATATTGATGCAGACATCACCTGTTCGACTCAGGCCCGAGCCATTGCTGGTCTCGCTTCTTTTTTTTTTTCTTTCTCCTGCCATTAATTCCAGATAATTCTACAGTAAAATAAGGGTGGAGAGGGAGGTGGATAAGGCTCGGTGGAGGGCCCGCATCTGCGTTGCATTGCTTGATTCAATCCCGAGTATGCAGACACAGCCTGTTCGACTCAGGCCCGAGCCATGTTGGGTTGTTACACTCTTTTTGCCATTCCCCCCAAGAAATTCTATAATAAACTGAAAGTGCAGAGGGAGGTAGGAAGGCTCGGTAGCAGATGGTCTGCATCTGCCCTCAATGCTATAACAGAGATGCAGATACAGCCTGTTCGACTCAGGCCCGAGCCATAGTTGGTTGCACTGGAATTTTTTTCTCTTGTCATTCATTGCGCCAGAAAATTCTACAATAAAATAAAGGTGCGGAGCGGGGGAAGGAAAGGCTCGGTAGCGGAGGGTCCGCATCTGCTTCCCATATGAAGTGGCTATAGAAGTATGCAGACACTGTATTGCCTGTTCGACTCGGGCCGAGCCATTTCTCACTCAGATCTTTTTTTCTTCTCCTCTCATTCATTCCCTCAGAAAATTGCACAACAAAACAAGAGTGCAGAGCGAGGTGGATAAGATTCGGTAGCGGAGGGTCCGCATCTGCTCTCCATTCAGCATCCTTACTATGGGAAATGCAGATAAAGCCTTTTCGACTCAGGTCCGAGCCATAGTTGGTTTCATTCCTTTTTTTCTTCTCATTCCCCCAGAAAATTCTACGATAAAACACGAGTGCAGAGGGAGGTAGAAAGGCTCGGTAGCAGAGGGCCCGCATCTGCTTTCCATGACATATTGTCACCAGAGTAATGCAGACAACGCCTGTTCGACTCAGGCCCGAGCCATCTCCACGCTCCAGTTATCTTTTTGGTCATTCCCGAGAAAATTGCACAATATAATGTAGGTGGAGATGGAGGGAATAAGGCTCGGTAGCGGAGGGTCCGCATCTGTGCTCAGTGGGTCGTTGGGATCATCGTTGATGTAGACAAAGCCTGTTCGAACCATAGTTTTACTGCATTGCTTTTGTTTTTTGTCATTCCCTCGGGAAATTGTGTGTTATGGGAGGTGCGAAGGAAGGGGGGAAGACTCGGTAGCAGTGGGTCTGCATCTGCTTTCCATCTAATTTGTCGAGGAGAATAATGCAGACAAGGCCTGTTCGACTCAGGCCCGAGCCATTTCCAATTCTTTTTCTTTTTTGCCATTCCCCCGGAAATGCAGTAATAAAACACGAGTGCAGAGCAGGGGAGGAAGGCTCGGTAGCAGAGGGTCTGTATCTGCTTTCCATTATAGATTATCGCCAGCGTAATGCAGACATAGCCTGTTCGACTCAGGCCCGAGCCATAGTTGATTTCGCCTCCCTTTTTTTTTTTCTCCTGCCATTAATTCTAGATGATTCTACAGTAAAATGTGAGTGCAGAGGGAGGTAAATACGGCTCGGTAGCGGATGGTCTGCATCTGCTTTCCATTAATGTGTTCAAAGGAATAATGCAGACAAAGCCTGTTCGACTCAGGTCCGAGCCATTCCCAATTTCCAATTCTCTTTTTTTTTTCTCCTACCATTAATTCCCCAGATAATTCCATAATAAAGCATTGGTCCAGAGGGAAGGAATAAGGCTCGGTAACAGATGGTCTGCATCTGCTCTCTGTGTTCTCTTCATCAAATATTACCATGTTGCAGACAATGCTTGTTCGACTCAGGCCTGAGCCATTTCTGGTTTGATTAGCATTTTCTTCTTTTTGCCAGTCCCTCTAGAAATTCTGGCTTGCGAGGAACATTTAGAGAGAGGTAAGAAGGCTCGGTAGCGGATGGACCGCATCTGCTTTCCGTAAATGTGTCCAGGGCATAATGCAGACAAAGCCTGTTCGACTCAGCCCCGAGCCATAACCGTAGACTCACTTTTCCTTTGGCCATTCCTCCAAAAAATTCTATAATAAAATGAGGGTTAGAAGGAGGTAGGGAGGCTCGGTAGCAGAGGGTCTGCATCTGCTTTCCATTAATCAGGTATTTCAGAGGATAATGCAGACACTGCCTGTTCGACTCAGGTCCGAGCCATAACTCTTGGGCATCTTCTTTTTTTGCTCTTGTTTCTCTCCATATATTTTTAGGTATAGAAGATACGAAGTGAGGGAGAAAGGCTCGGTATGGACCTGTTCAACTCAGGCCCGAGTCATTCGTCAATTCGTGAGCTGGGTTTTTTCTCTGTCATTCATTCCCTCAGAAAAATTCCACAGTAAAATAAGGGTGGAGAGGGAGGTGGATACGGCTCGGTAGCGGATGGTCTGCATCTGCTTTCCATTCAAGATGTATATGCGTGAAAATGGGTAATGCAGACAATGCCTGTTCGACTCAGGCCCGAGCCATACCTCTGCCCTCTGTCTTTTTTCTTTCTTTTGGTCATTCCCTCTGGAAATTCTGGGTCTTCAGGGAGGTGCGAAATGAGGTAGATAAGGCTTGGTAGCAGAGGGTCCGCATCTGCTTTCCATGACGTGGGATGCCAGAGCATAATGCAGATAATGCCTGTTCGACTCAGGCCCGAGCCATCGCTCTTTTCCATGCTTCTTTTTTCTCCTGACATTAATTCCCCACAAAATTCTACAATAATATAAGTGTGCAGAGCAGGGGAGGAAAGGCTCGGTAGTGGAGGGTCCACATCTGCAATCGATTCCGACGAGCCAATCTTCTATTGTGCAGACAAAGCCTGTTCGACTCAGGCCCGAGTCATTCGTCAATTCGTGAGCTGGTTTTTTTCTCTGTCATTCATTCCCTCAGAAAAATTCCACAGTAAAACAAGGGTGCAGGGAGAGGGAATAAGGCTCGGTAGTGGACGGATCCGCATCTGCTTTCCATCAAATGTGCGAACGAATAATGCAAACAAAGCCTGTTTGACTCGGGCCCGAGCCATCTCCACGCTCCAGTTATCTTTTTGGTCATTCCCGAGAAAATTCCGCAATAAACTGAGGGTGCATGGGGGAGGGATAAGGCTCGGTAGCAGATTGTCCGCATCTGTTTCCATTTCTAGTGTTCCGTAAGATAATGCAGACATTGCCTGTTCAACTCGGGCCCGCCATTGCTCTTTTCTATCTCATTTTCTTGCCATTCCCCGATAGTTGCACAAATGAACCGAAAGTGCGGAGTAGGGGAGGAAGGGCTCGGTAGCAGACAGATCTGCATCTGCTTTCCATAAAGTGAGATTCCAGAGCATAATGCAGACATAGCCTGTTCGACTCAGGCCCCAGCCTTAAATTTTATCACCTTCTGACCTTTTTTTGTCATTCCCCCCAAGAAATTCTATAATAAACTGAGGGTACAGAGCAAGGTGGATAAGGCTCGGTAGCGGATGGTCCGCATCTGCTCTCCATTCGTAGTACGCAAGTGGGTTATACAGACAAAGCCTGTTCGACTCAGGCCCGAGCCCTCACTCTTACCATCCAATCTTTTTGCCCTTCCCGAGAAAATTTTACAATAAAATCCGGGTGTAAAGGGAGGTGGATAAGGCTCGGTAGCAGAGGGTCTGCATCTGCCTTCCATTTGATGTGTGTAGAGTAGAAGCTAATAATGCAGACAAAGCCTGTTCGACTCAGGCCCGAGCCATGGCCAGCTTCCTCCTGACTTTTTTTTTTCCCTTTCTGCCATTGCCGAGAAAACTCTACAATAAACTGAAAGTGCGGAGGGAGGGAATAAAGCTCGGTAGCGGAGGGTCCGTATCTGCTTTCTTTCAACTACACCTCCGGCCAGAGCATAATGCAGACATTGCCTGTTCGACTCAGGCCCGAGCCATGTTCATCATTTGCTGAATTTTTTTCCCTTTCTTTTTCATTCGCTCCAAAAATCCTGTGGAATAATGTAGGTGTACAGCAGGATGGGAAGGCTCGGTAGTGGAGGGTCCACATCTGCAATCGATTCCGTCGAGCCAATCTTCTATTGTGCAGACGAAGCCTGTTCGACTCAGGCCCGAGCCATTCCATTGTTGGTACGTCTCTTTTTTCTCGCCGCAGAAATTTCACAATATAATGTGGGTGTAGCGGGAGGCAAATAAGGCTCAGTAGCGGATGGTCCACATCTGCTTTCCGTGACGTGGGATGCCAGAGCATAATGCAGACAATGCCTGTTCGACTCAGGCCCGAGCCATGGCCAATGCCATGTACACTTTTTGTCATAGCACCGGATAATGTGTCGGTCATAAGGAAGGCCGAGAGGAGGGAGAAAGGCTCGGTAGCAGATGGTCTGCATCTGCCCTCAATGCTATAACAGACATGCAGATACAGCCTGTTCGACTCAGGCCCGAGCCATAGTTGGTTGCACTGGAATTTTTTCTCTTGTCATTCATTGCGCCAGAAAATTCTACAATAAAATAAAGGTGCGGAGCGGGGGAAGGAAAGGCTCGGTAGCGGAGGGTCCGCATCTGCCCAATATGCTTCGCATTTTGGCCAATATTGATGCAGACATTGCCTGTTCGACTCAGGCCCGAGCCATTGCGCTTTCCCGTACATTTTTTTTTCTCCTCTCATTCATTCCGCCCAGAAATTCCTACTAGGTGTAGAGAGAGAGGATAAGGCTCAGTGGAGGGTCCGTATCTGCCCTCAATGATTTGGCCGTCCATCTTGATGCAGATGCTGCCTGTTCGACTCAGGCCCGAGCCATTCATTGATGTGTGAGCTGACTTTTTTTTGCCACTCCCCCGGAAATGTAACAATAAAAATGAGAGTGGAGAGAGAGGTCGGTAGCGGATGGTCTGCATCTGCTTTGCATTGTGCGCAGCAATTCCTGATTATGCAGACGAGGCCTGTTCGACTCAGGCCCGAGTCATAACTCGTGAGCATCCTCTTTTTTGCTCTTGCTTCTCTCCACACAATTCTACAATAAAATCAGAATGCAGACAGAGGTGGATAAGGCTGGGTAGCGGATGGTCCGCATCTCCTTTCCATTCGCTGACGCTATATAAGAGTAATGTAGACATTGCCTGTTCGACTCAGGCCCGATCCATAGAATGTTTCCTCTTTATGTTTTTCCTTTTTTTTATAGCCCCACAAAATTCTACAATAAAACAAGAGGTATGAAAGCTCGGTAGCAGAGGGTCCGTATCTGCTTTCCATCAGAAGTGTGCGAGCAAATAATGCAGATTTCGCCTGTTCCACTCAGGCCCGAGCCATTCATCTGCTCTTGCTTCTTTTTTATTTCATCTCGCAGTCAATAATCCCAGATAATTCTGCAATAAAATAAAGGTGCAGAGGGAGGTAGGCTCGGTAGTGGACTGTCCACATCTGCTTTCCATTACATGTATGAATAGATAATGCAGACATAGCCTGTTCGACTCAGGCCCGAGCCATTGCATCTTTATCTTGGATTTCTTTTTCACTCGCTCTGAAATTCTGGCTTGTGAGGAACATTTAGAGAGAGGTAGGAAGGCTCGGTGGAGGGATCCACATCTGCCCAATATGTGTCATCTTGGAGGATGTTCACGCAGACATCCTGTTACAACTCAGGCCCGAGCCATCACATCTTTGTCTCGCATTTCTTTTTCATTCGCTCTGAATTCTGGCTTGTGAGGAACATTGAAAGGGAGGCAGGAAGGCTTGGTGGAGAGTCCGCATCTGCTTTCCATTTCTCGTGTTCTGTAAGGTAATGCAGATAAAGCCTGTTCGACTCAGGCCCGAGCCATAGTTGATTTCACTCCTCTTTTTTTTTCTCCTGCAATTAATTCCAGATAATTCTACAGTAAAATAAAGGTGGAGAGGGAGGTGGATAAGGCTCGGTTGCGGATGGTCCGTATCTGCTTTGCATTGCTCGATTCAATCCACAGTATGCAGACAAAGCCTGTTCGACTCAGGCCCGAGCCATAGCTCTTTTCGTGCTTTTTTTTTTTTTTGTCTCCTGTCATTCATTTGATATACATATGTGTAAAAATGGAGATATTCCTGTTCGACCCAGGCACGAGCCATAACTCTTGGGTCTATTTCATTTTTATTCCCCTCTAAAAATTGTGACTTATGAAGGTGCAGATTAAGGGAAGCAGGAAGGCTCGGTAGTGGAGGGTCCGCATCTGTTTTCCGTCACTTGTTGCCGATAGAAGTATGCAGATATTGCCTGTTCGACTCAGGCCCGAGCCATTCATCGATTCGTGAGCTGATTTTTTTTGCCATTCCCCCACAAAATTCTGCATTAAAACAAGAGTGCAGAGGGAGGTAGGAAGGCTCGGTAGCGGATGGTCCGCATCTGCTTTCCAGTATTTCTTTCTGTCGTCATACTGCAGATGATGCCTGTTCGACTCAGGCGCGAGCCATTGCTCTTTCCCGTACATTTTTCTTCTCCTGACATTCATTGTCCCGAAATTCCATAATAAAATATAGGTGATCGGTAGGGGTCCACATCTGCACTTTATTCATAGGTGCGAAGGAGATTGCAGACATCACCTATTCAACTCAGGCCCGGGCCATCGTTGGTTTCATTCAAATTCCTTTCTTCTTTTTGCCATTCCCCCCAAAATTCCACAATACAATAAGGGTGTAGAGGGAGGTGGATA